CCGATAAACATAAGTAATTCTTAATTTCTTTTCTGTTGATTAATGAACGTAATAAGAACAGACGATTGAGATAATTATGCACAAGAAATTGACTCACGAAAAAGCTCGTTAAGTTCATTAAAGGATTTTTTTATAATGGCAAAACATTGTCTATAATCATCTATCAACAAAAATATCTATGGTGATTAATGGCTGGCTGATTAATATTTGGAACATTCCAACAAAAAATTTCAATTTCTCTTCTTAACGATACACATGATAAAATTTCTTTTCATTGTCTTCATTGAAGGCAGTCTACAAACAGCTTTCATTAACAAATGACATTAATTAATTATTGAAGACAACAAAAAACTGAAAGTTGAGTAGTTTGAATACGCCCGCCCACATATAATGATTATAACAACACATGATAACATAAAATAATGCCAAAAAGAACCGAGATGAAAAAGAACCCATACACAAATTTATTTTTATAATAGTAGACATTTACAAAACACTCATATTCTTTTTTAAACACCTTCATGATTGCTGTAGCTTGTTGTTTTTTTAATAAAAAGGGAGCTTGATTTAAGTATTTTGTTTCAAAATTATTACGTTGAGTAAAATTTATGATTATGAATGATATTGAATCGTACTTTATTAAGTAAAGTGTAATTCCTGAAAACATCTTTCTAAAAGTTTAAGAATTTGAAAGAACTAAGGAGGAATGTAGAACAACTAATAATTTTAATTATCTTACTTTGATTAGGGGTCGTTCACTTATTACGTTTGCTTTTAAGGGGGAGGGTGGGGTCTTGATTTTGTAACATTTCAAAAAAGAAAATAAATTTTATCAAAAATTTGTTTTAAGGAATGGAAGGGAGTTTTAAAAGTAATTTATTTACGTTAAGTCATAAGTGAACGAGCCTTTAAGACAGCAACTAAACAATTGGAAAGAAATTTTTTTAATACATTTGAAACTTTTAAAACTTATGATAAACTTTTGTTTGACACTTTTGTCTTCTTCCAAATTCAGAATGAATACCTTCTCATATGTGAAAAAATAATTTCTGCTTAAAATTGGAATTGACAATATCATCATTTGATTTTAGGGCATTGAATGAAACAAGTTAATAAAAAGAAGCAAACGAAAAGTTTTATGTGTGGCGACTTTTTACAAATAAAAGTTTTTTTTTAATCGATAGAAAAACCAACAAAAAGACGAGACTTTGAGGCAACTTATTAGGATGTTTACTAAAATTAAATTATTTGTCAAAACTTAATCATGAAATTTTATTGAAAAAGATTGTTGTACAAAATTATTTAACATTAGTACTCTAACAGACAAATGAGGATACTCATGGTACCTTGAGTATACTCACTTGTCTATTAGGGGTAATTTAATTATAATTTGGGTGAAATATATTTTATTTTTCTTTCTGGTTTTGGACAAATAGTGATATTTCAAAATACATACAATAATATAATTCGCAATCTCATATGTCACACGTCAACAAAAATGGAAATTCCTTAAATTAGAACTAATTGCCAAAATAATTTGCTTCAATGTGTAAATATGGCTCAATAATAATAAAAATCAATTTATAATACCGTGAGATTCCTTAATGTATTTTGAAATCCCTTTAAACTCGTTTAGAAAATTATACTTTAAATTATTTTGGATAAAATTTTCATAAATTATGTTTTTCATTACATTAATAATTTATGCATTTTGGATTTTCTTGAGCCTTAGGGTATCTTTTGTGAAATTTTAAGCCTCATTATGAATTACCATCTGTATGCATTCTCATACAACAGTCAATAATTAAACCATTATTCATTTTCAATTAAATCAAAAGAAAGAGAATTTTCTGGAAAATACACAGACAGAATTAAAAAAATAAAAATGGGATGGAAAATGGCAAATAACAAACCCCTTCACAAGTGTTTTTCATTACTAAAGACTTGGCTTCAATAACGATTACTGCTATGCTATTATGTAAAGAGGAAAATAAATAGAATGTTGATACAATAAAGTGGAAATTGTCTTACAACTTGGTTCTTTTTCATTAATTCTAGTATGAAATTTTCACAGTCATGCAACGTGGGGAAGAAATGTTAATGGCAAAAAAGGGTCTCAGTTGACAACCATTTTTCCTTGTTTAAAAATTTTATGCAAACGAAGCACAACGAATTTTCTCTGGAGAGATTTTCATAAAAACAACCCCTCTGTGTTTACTTTGAAATGTCTCAATAATACACACTATGCACATCATTGAGTTATCTAGATGAAAAATGAGCAATTGACACAAAGCAATTAATTTTGCCTATTAAAGTTCGTATCTCCAAAAATTACTAATATTTATTGCTCTAGTCATAATTCATTGCAATGAAATATTGTTTTCCCCGCATATCACATCCTTCAATACATTTTCATCTTATTCAAACTTCATTTTTCAAGGCTGTCGTATATTATATATTTATATCTAAAAATAAAACTATTATTGAACAATAATCGAAATCAAAATCATTAGTCAATAAATAAAATTTGAATCTCTTGTTTTAAGTTGTATCGACTTTGGCTCTGATATATTCTATAACCAATTAACCTTTACTGTTTTTAAATATTTTTTAAGCATAACGTTATCAAAAAAGTTCATATAAAGACAAGAGTAATTAAAACATAACTTCTAACGTTAGTTTTTAATGACATAAAGACATAACAAGCACCATATATTTTGTGACTAATAAAGATGCTGATTAGAAGTCTTCTTCTTTCAAATCACTAACATTTGTCGCAATGTTTGTTTTCCGTCTTGTATCCAATAATTTTATAAATGTTTAAATCAATAATTAAATTAAAAAAGTTATAATAAAGACATTAAACTTAGAAAAGCATACATTGCAATAGAAATATTGATGATATTTAAGGCTTAGACGTTCGGATGATGGAAATAAAATACCAGAGCAGACTATCTCAAATGTGTCCCAGCCTTGATGTTTTTCCTTATAACATCTAACGATCTTTTCATTTAATGTTAGTTTTGTGATTGCATAATATTCATGTAAGCATAATAGAGTATGCTTTTTCAATAAATTATACCAATTACATGTTTTGATAGTTCAAGGTATTTTAATGGCAATTGCACTCTATAATAAACATAAGAACTGGTTGTAATAATTAAAACTTACTTCGACTTGAATATTATGCAAGGAAAATGGAAAAAAAATCTTGGCAATGAATATTCTGCCTGCAATCATAAATAATGAAAAAGTTGAAAACAGAAGAGATGAATTAATTGAGCAATTGTTGAATATACTTTTCACAAGATGATATAAAAAACACATCTGATTTACAACTGAAGATGATGAACATCATTTTAAACTTCTATTTCTATTTTAACCCAATGCAAATTAATAGAAAAGAAAAAATTATTCTAATAGTTAGAATTTTCTTTAAATTACAGTCTTTATAAAAAAAACTGTGAGAATGATTGATCGACTTGAATGTTGAATATACGAAAATAAATGTAAGAAATGCACAAAAAAGTAGTTATTAAATGCAACGGTACTTAAACGAATGGATCAAAACTGTCCGATCAATCACGCTTTTTACATGAAATAAGGTGTGAGTATGCACAATAAATGTGCATTAAATAACCATAAAATTCATATAAAGTAAAGGAAATGAAAAGTAAAAAATAGTAAAATTTCTGGAAACTCCGACGCAGAATGAGTCATGCACAACAACAAATATTGATTTTTTTCACCCCTCATTTTTGCCGGCACATGCTATAGAAAATTCACGTCGACGGTTGTAAAAAAAAATTCTTCCAATTCATCCCTCAATTTTTAGTTCATTTTATTTTTGTATAACAGAGCACTATGCTCTACACAATGAAAGATTTTTTGAGTGTATGCTCATGTTTTTGTTTGTTAAATTACAAAAGATTAATTTTGCACCCCCTCACTCCAATAAAACTTTACAATCTCAATGCACAGTTATGAATTTTTGTGTGAGATTATCACAATATTTTTTTTTATAGAATTTTGCACATTATTACAATGTCCAATAAATTTAAGAACTAAAGAGTATAAAATTTGCAATTAATGCTTACATTTTTAAAATACGATTAATCCAAAAAAATTGTTGTTGGTTCTTTATTTTTTGTCTCTAATCAAATGGGATTTAATCCACTTTACGCTTAAAAACTTTTATTCAATGTCACTCAGTTTAAAGGCTGAGTTGAGAGTTTTTTTAACACAAACACATTCACATTAAAAATATTCTTTTTTAATTCTTTTTCTTTTATCTTCTACACATTTACCGTGTACAATGAAACACCTTGCTTGATTCTTTTTTTTTAATAATTTGATCAAATTTTTGCCTTTTTCTTTTATTAAACACTTTTTTTTTTATTTTTCAATTCACAAAATTATTCCATTTCAATTCTTCAATTTTATTCAACTATTTTTTCAGATATTTATTCTGATTATTCTTTTAATTTAACACTTTTATGGTCATAAAAATAAAGAAACGTACTTCACTCCTCGAATGATGTTTTACGAATGAGAATTTAACTGAGAATTTAATAAAATATTGAGTAGAGCGTTTGAGCTTTTTAGCACTAGTATCTAAACTCTCTTCTCTCAGTTTTTACAAATATTTTTCTCGCGTTCAATTTCAAAACAAAAAACAACGTGTTTCCAAGGTATATAACTTTGTTTGTGATAAATCTCTATAAACGTGGTTTTTTTATTTTAATAATGATAACATATCAGGAATAAAATTTATTGAATAATAGTACTAAGACTACCTTTGCAAATTTAAAAAAAGGTAATCATCGAAACTTAAGTATGACTTAATCTTTTAATTTTTACAATTTGATAAGATAAAAGTCATTCAATAAAATTGATATTCCTGCTTGAATTCCTTACTTAAAGCTTCTGTCAGTCGTAAATCGAAATTGTTTCAGTTAATTTCTCTTAAAGGATTTTGTTTGTAACCGTTTTTAAAAAAAATGAAAGGTCACGAAAGTAAAAATCATTGCAACTATACTAATGAATCAGATATTTCATTAAAATTTTATTTGCAGTTCAATCATATTTAATTTATTTGTGCACATTTGTTGCTATGATATCTTGTAATTTAGACTGTCCTGTTGATTCAATTTACAATGAATTTGACAATGCGTGTATACCATTGAACCTGATATTGCGTGATGACATAAATATTGACGAAATTTGCACGGGTATATTTTTTTCTCCGAGACCACATCCAGAAGACAAAACCCTTTATATTGGATGTATGAGAGGTTTGCCTATGATTTTGAGATGCTATGAAAATGAAATTTTTGAAGAAACTCAGCTTGAATGCATTTTTCGAATTCCTGAAACTACAACTGAACTTATAATAACGACAACCACTGAAATTCCTACTGAACCTATAACAACGACACGGACAGAAGTTTTAACGGAACCAACAACCACAAAACCGAAAAATCCATGTGAAGGAATTACAACCGGTAAAAACAAATTCAAACCCTGCTAAAATTAGAATTACTAAGTTAATTTTTATAATAAATTTTTAAGGACAAATTCCACATCCAACCAATTGCACTTTATGTCAAATGTGTATCCTTCAGCAAATCGTCGAAATTGAATGCAAATGTGAACCAGGCTTAATATTTTGGATCAGTGAATGTGTAATTGGTGACAGTGATACTTGTGAACCTTGGAATTAATGGTTTTTTTTTATCAGAAATGTATTTTAGCAAGCAAATAATACAATATTTGAAAAGAAAGAGTTTTATTTTGCATGTTATGCTGCTATAAAATGTTAGACTAATTCTCCGAATTTTTATTACAGAAATAATAGAAGGTGCTTAATTAACAACGCGTGCATGTAGAATTTTGTCAAATTTACAGAGCTTCACCATGGCGTAATTAGCCATATGTTTGTGTCATGTAGCCTATCAATATAGAGTCGAAAAATAAAAGTAGACATAAATATTATTAAACAAAAAAAAAATAAAACATAGACACAGGAACAACAATAAATATTAAGGGCATTAAACTCATTGAGTCGCAAAAACAAAAGACATAAAAAAGAATTATGATGACGAGCCAAAAAAAAAACATTACCTTGAGCAGTGAATTTAATTGAATTAAGTAAATTTGCCAGTATTGTCAAATTATGAAAGCTTTTTATTCCATTTAATAGTGTTTAAAAAATTGATATTTTTTTAATGCACTGATAGAATGAAAAAATTATTTGAGAATATCGCAAACATATATTTGGTGATTATAACTAATACCTCAAATATCAATTTAGCTAATTATTTTCAATTCTTTACATTCGTAAAACCAAAACAGTGGTGATTAGTAAAGGGAAGTTCCGTTGTTGAAATGTCAAGTTTTTCTTTACAATTTTTTTGTCCATTATTCTAACTACTTCTCGTCACGGAATGGCGAAATAATGCCTTTATTTTTGGTATTCGTAAATTTCTAGATTTAAGATTTCTTCAATTTCTTTTTTTGATGTAATTTTTAAGTGTTTGAATTGAAAACATGGTTTCAAAAGTATAGTTGAATATCACATCTCTAATACAATAAAAAGTTATTTTTATATGAAATAATTTGTTTAACTTAAAATGTTTTGGGTTGTAATAGTATTTATCATTTTATTAATTTATTATTCCTATTATCAGCAAATTTGTAAACCTCATTTTGATAAGATACGAAATCGCTCTTTAGTCTGAGAGGACAATTTTACTCAGTAATGACTTTAACTTGAAATGAAAATGTAATTGTTTGAGCTCATTTTAATTGTTTCTATTGCTCATTATGGTTAGAGGTAAGATCATTTCAACAAAATATTCAATAATTTAATTAATTGGAAATAAATCTTAAACACAGCTTTATTCAAATATTCGTTCACTGTCCTTCTGATCTTTTTGAACTCCGTTTTGTTAATATTATTATACATCAGAAGCAAGGAAGAAATTGTTGAAAAAAGATCGACAGACAAGGGAGAAATACAATAGAATCAAAACCAGAATCCATTTGAATAATAAACTCAATAAAATTAAGCAATATTAAAGTGCTGCCAGAAAGTTTCACATACAGGCGTGAAACAGCATTGAATTAAAAATTAATTTAAAGCCATTGCTCTTGATGATCTTTAGCGTTAAGAAGGAAATTACCTATCTAGAAGTCAAAACAATTACGTTAAAATATCGCTACTTTTAAATGTGTGAATCTTCCAGAAACTTCTTAAATTATAAATTAATTTTTTTTAAATAAAATTATACAAAGTTATTTAAAGCTAATAAAAAACTAAACAATGGGTTGTCTACACACTTGCTTTAATAAATGTTCACAACATTGATTCTAATCAGTGATTGTAAAAAAATCAGAACCAACAAATGTGTTCTTCTTCATTAAAATAACGTTAAAAGAACTTAAAGAAAGTGTTATGTCATGCATTGTTTATTTTACAGAACAATTTCATTTTCTTTGTCATAAATGTCGCTGTGTGATGCCGCTGATTGCTATATTCACTTTCTTTAGAATTAACTATTTATTGCATGTTTTTTTTACCATTTTTTGAGTTTCTTTGGCGTTCTAATGCTTCTAGTATTTTGGGATACTTCCTTGTTTAAAGATTTAAATGTGCAAGCTGAAATGGAAATTTCTAATGTTTAATTTAAACATTTAAATCTTTTAAATAAAATTTTAATGCATTTTTTTATGCTGATTGCTGGTTAAAAGTTTTTCAAGTTTTTTTTATTAAATCAACAGCAACTGCATTAATGAATAATTTTATTTTTGAAAATAACAATGAAACGAGACTTAAAATAGCTTGAAGCTTTCTCATGAATATTTTGCATCACAAATAAATAATTGGCTGCTAAACTGCATTGTTAATGCCACAAAGCGTGAATTTTGTGATCTTTTTGAAAGAGGAAGTGACAAAGTATACAAAATATCTAAAGTGGAATGACATTTGGTAGGAGCTTTTAAAGTCAAAGATGACATCGTTTGATCAATTAAGAATGTATTATAACTTTAAAGAACAACTTGCTATTCTTGATTTTCACTCCTTTTTCAGTGGACGTTAATTACTTTTCTATCCGTAAGCTGAAAGAATGATACAAATACAATTATCACTCGTTTAAGCTATAACTCAGGGGGAAAACTACATACAATGGTAAAAATTTTGATGGGAAATTTACCATTTTTTTTCATTTTTCCCATTTTTTTGTGGAAAATTTCCCATCATAAAGGGGAAAAAATGAAAAAAAAATGGTAAAAAAAGGTAAAAATTTGCAAGAATGGTAAAAAAGATAAAAATGACAATTTTTGATGGAAATTTTCCTTTTTTTACCCATCATGTAGTTTTCCTCCTGCTTTAACTAATAAGCAAAACCACCGTTTTTTACTTCATTTCTCACTCGCGTAAATGAGTTTATAACTTAGTTGCTCTGCATCTCAATAAAATATGAAGCATAATTTAGCATAACAAAATACCACAACATCGCATTGTAAATCTCACCGCAATCATTTATCATAGCTGTATTAATTAATTTTAATTATTTGCTTTCATAAGAGAAAGAAAAATCTTGATAAATCTGCAGACATGCAAAATAAAAAAGTGCCTCTTGGTTTTTTCACGTCTTGATTGATCATCGTGAATATTTTTTTTGTGTAACTTATGAGTGTTATTATATAATTTTTCTGTGGTGTTGTATATCAGTGTGTAACATTTAGATTGATATTATTAAAAAAGTGTTGAAATGGATATTTACTGGATGCATAATTAAGGTAAAATAACAAGATTTTATGACTTTTCTGGTAATTAGTTGAGTTATTATGATTCAATAAATTTTTTAATTCCTGTTAATTCATTAATAACTTTTTGTTCGATTTTCTTTATGTTTTTGACTTTTCCTCTTTTTTGCACAACCTTTTTTTGAAGCAAGCAAAACTTTATAAATTAACAAATAAATTCACCATGACACCAATACTCACTTCGAAAATATTCTTCAAACTATAATATTATTGCCAATTATTAAAAATTCAACCAAGATTTGTGTAGACCCGGAAGGTGGTACGAATAAAGTAAATCAAAACTGTTAGAAAAATGCTGAAATTTACTATGAAAACTTTAAATGACTTTAATTTTAATTTCCTTTATTACCCAAAAGAATTCACCAAAAATTCCACGTTAAGGCAATGATGAAAAGTTCTACAATTTAGAGGCAAAAAATGGGTGGCAGTATGAACAAAAAATCAAAAAAATATCCAACCAACCCTTTTTTCGATTTAAAATTTTGCATTTTGTCTTATAAATATTATTATTATTATTGTATTGAATCTGACAAAAAATTATTTTTCGCAAAGTATAAAACTGAATTGGAGAAAAAATGAAATTTCCTGTCTGCCACACACATATAATTTACTATAAGAAATAAATAGCAATATAAAAACAACGACGGTGGTAAAAAAAAGTTTCAAAATTTTCTGTGTGAAATTTAATATATACCGAAAATTCACTGCATATTGTTATCGAGACTTTAATAATTTCCTTACAAAAAACTTCCATCTTTATTCAATTTTATTTTGGTACATTGTGATGAGTTTAACATCAAAAAATAATCTGAAACATGACACAAACTCAAACAACGGAACATGAATGGCTTTATGTATCAAAATTCAAATTTTAGTTTTCCTCTTCAGTGCATTTGAATGACTGTGTGTGATGGTATTAAACGAAATAGTTGAGCTGAATAGAATTTTTTTTTCGCAAAAGGGTAATTCCATGAGTGAAAAAAATTTTGTTGCACCAATTTTTCAAAAATATTTCCTTAACTAAGAACTTTGTACTCCAAATTGTAACTTTATTATGTTTATTAACACAATATTTATCTCCATATGTGAGAATTTCACATCAGAAATATGTCTAATTTTTATTTTTTTAATAAAAGTAAAATTAATCGGTCAAGTTTTCGAAAAATCGTTTTCTAAACATTTCCTAATATTTACTTAAATACACACTTCTATGTTCCAAAGTTACTTTTAACATATTAGATATTAGCCAGGCTTTTGTTTTATGTATAATTTGCATTCCTTAATGCTGTAATTAAGAAGAAAAACCAAAAACACTAGCATTAATCGGTCAATTTTTGACCGATTATTGCAAAACAGAACACTGAAAAAATTTCAAATTCACAAAAACCGTTAGACTTTCTTGATTTTACTTGTAAGTTTATTAGATTTATTTGATTTAATGGAGCAAGTAACTCAAGTTTCAAAACATTAAAGATCATATATATTTGTACCATCTCTCTTTGATGATATTGCGGCTAATTCACTTGTAAAAACAACAAAACGTTAAGAAATTATAACGGTTTTGGGAAATTTGAATTTTTACAAGTAGAGAAATATTGTATAGTGCTTTTTCACAGTTCTCATTACTCATGGAATTACCCAAAAGAGTTCGCAAATATTTATTTTATGCACATAATGAAAATGAGTGGAACTTCACAAAAGAGCAAACATTTGCGAATACTATGTGTTGCTATAGAGCTCATATATACCATGCTAATTCACATCCATAAATATCCGATTTCGATTTAACACAGCATGTGAAAGCAAACTAGTATGAAATTTACTTGAATATTTTTTAAAGCAAGAACAAAAACCAACTTTAAACAATGTCGATTCTAAGTTGTATTGCACT